CAAGGGTCGGCAGCCTGGAAATGACTACTGTTCACAAGGATCCCTGGCGGCCCCCACTGGCTGAGGGGGCCCACCGGGCGGGCTCTGGGGGCCCAGGGCCATCTGCCCAGGAAGCCCCTTCCCCCAGGGCCCTGCGGGCCCCCCAGTCCCATCTAAATCTGCTCAGAAGAAAACATCCAGGCCTCCCCCACAGGCTCAGACGCCTCCGCCCTCCCATTGGAAATCACCAGATGCTCCAGTTTTTCCAGAGAGCCAGGGGCCAGCGTGAGGTAACCGGAGGACGATTAACCCTTCCAGTCCCACAGCCAACAGGGGCCCCGTGTCCAGGGCTTGCACCCATCAGACTGCCTGTGCCACTTAGGGGTGCCCTGCTTGGACCTCGGCCTCAGGCCACAGCATCCGTGGGAGGGCCCACACAGCCCGTGCCCCCTGCACATGGCCAGTGGCACCTGGCACCTACCTGTCTGCTTCCCTGGAAGGTCCCTTGCTCCTCCACGTCAGGTTCCAGGCTCAGTAATGCCACCCTCAGTCTGTGCCCCCCCAGGGTCCTCACACCCACCCCTCCCCCTGCCACTCAGACAAAGCAATGCCTGTGCTTACACATCTGGGTGGGGGGCACCCTCCCTACAAGGCCTGGTGGTGCCAAGGACATTGCCAGCTTTGTGGGAACTCTGGAGTGAACTGTGGCCCCACACCCCCCTGGGCTGCCCCACCTTGGCAGCGAGCCCGCCCCTCACCCATGGTAGCTGTGGGTCCCCCTGAATTTAGGCCTTCAGCTCTGGTCTGCCCAGAGGAAGGGAGACTGCTTACAGGTGATTCTGTCTCCGAGAACCAGCATGGTCTGCCCCTCCCGCCTGGCTCGTGCCCCCCTCCCATTGCCAAGTCCTACGTGACTGGGGCTGGGCACAGTGACCTCAGGCCCCAGGTGTCCCACCTGTAACTGGACAGGCAGTGGCCACCATCCCACCACCCGGGCCAGTGGGCCAGTGACCTGTGGGGTTTATCACAGATGGACTGTCTAGACGGCCCCTCCGTCCCTCCCCTTCTTTATATTTTATTATTTCTTTCAAATGATGGGACTCACAACCCAAGCCCCTGTGTCTGACTGAGCAGAAAATAAAATTCTCAGTTCTTAGGTAATAAAGGAGAGTAAGGCAGGCCACAGCACAGAGAGGGACTCACCGGCAGCTGGTGCCCAGCTGGACAGCCCCCAGCACGCCTGGGGGAGGGACGGGGAGGCTGCTGGATGGCTCGGGTGCATTTTGAGTTTTGCTTTGAGGTAATGCATGGAAACAGCAGCAACTAACGGGAAACACCACGGACATGATCAGTCGCCTCCCACCCTCCCACAGTGACCAGAGCCTGGGCGTCCTGAGGCTCCCCAAGAACAAACGGGGGGCCCTGTGGCTCTGCACCCCTGGGCTTCCTGACCTCCCTCCTCCCCTCACCTTCCCAGGCCTGCACCCCTGCATGTCCTGCTCCTTTTCCCTGTGGGCCACAGGACTGTTGCATGGCCCCATAATTTGCTGAACAAACCCTGTTGTTGAGTTTAGGGTGTCACCACATTGCACAGTCAAAGAGCTATGCATTTTGGTGTAATTTTTGCTAATAGGTCTGCAGGATGTACTTGGACATGCAGTGGATGGACGGACACCCTGCCTCCCAGCAACAGGTGCTGGAGGCCAGCTCTGTGCGGTGTCCTGTCAAGGACTACAGCCTGGGTTTTCCTTCCTCCAGAGGTGAGCCGTGGCACCCCCTTGGTGCCAACTGGTGTAAGCTCCTTTCCAGTGAGGCCCCGAGTCATCGCCTGAGAGGCCCCGCCTGCAGGGCAGCGTGATTCGGGTGGGCTGCATAAAGCTGCCCGCCATGCACTTGTGTGCCCAGCACTGTCCTCCTGGGTGACCAGCCTAGCTGTGACCGGCGCCCCCACCCCAGAGCCCCAGCTGGCCCACAAAGCCCCTTGGGAAGGCAATCCTGCCCCAGGCGGCCAGCCCCGCCCACCCCAGCTGCGATCTGACCACTGGCTTCCGTGGTGGGAATGAGCCGACGGACTGGCGGGCAAACAGAAGCTGGAAGACGGCCGCCCTGCCCCCAGTGCCCGGGGTCCAGACCACCGGACCCTTGCGGCCACGCCACCAGCAGAGGGGCTGCCCCAGTGACAAGATCGGGGAGAAGCAGCCTGTGCACACAGAGGCCCAGAGCCCTGGTGAGGGGTGTGCTGGCTGGTACCCCTGCGCCCACATACGTAACCCATGGAAACACTATTTCCTTGATGAATCATGTTCCAAGTTAGGAGGAAAATTCTCTATAGTTGAAGCATTAAAAAGAAACCAAGCAGGTCTTTGTTCAACAGATGCCAAGATTCGGGGTCTTGGGTTTCATCAGGGTGGCTGTCTGACCCCCAAGCCCCTGGGAGAGGCGGCGTGCTCTGCAAGCACCCTTTCCGTGTGGGGGGGAGCAGCCTCCTCAGACCTGCCATGTCTCTGGGCCACCCCCCAGGGGCCCACAGGCTACTCCCCCACCCCAGGCTGTGTCTGGCCGACAGCACATCAGTACATCAGTGCCAGGGACGCTGGCTCGGCTGGGGTGTGGGCATGGTTGGAGCCCCTCCACTGTGCCCAGTCCCCACCCCCGGGGTCCCTGCGAGCCCCACCGCACCCCCAGCAGGCCTGGCCCCTCAGGCATGTCTTCTGTCCTTGCTGGAACACATCTTGTCTGTAGGACCCTGAGCCTGGGCACAGGCACAGCTGATGGTGCCCTGGCAGAGCCCCCTGGCTGAGGGGGCGCAGGGGCAGACACATCCCGGCCGTGGCTGGGCCAGTGGGCAGGCAGCGGTCCATGCAGCCACGCGGAGCCACAGCTGCTGCCCTGAGGCCCAATGCGGAGCAGGGCCCCGAGGCCTGAGGTAGGCAGGGTGTGTGCGTGGGGTAGGGGTCCGCCCAGTGCCATCTATGGAGGCTTCCTCTCTCCTTGGGGCCCACCTGCTCCTTGGGCTTCAGGCCTTCACCAGAGTCCTGTGCTCACTTTTCTGGGTGCCTCGGCGGCCAGGCCCTGCCTGCGTCACCTGACAGCTGCTCCAGGTCCTTTGAGACCCACTGGGCCCCCATCACGGGTCTGGGCGGCTCATCTGCAGACCCCTCCCCACGCAGGCCCCCACAGGGCTGTGGCTGGTGGGCAGCCCCAGCCAAGACCTGCCCCCTAAGGGCTGGTTCTGCAGCGGCCGCAGACAGACATGGGGCCTGCTGGGCCCAAATGCCACACCCCTCGTGCAGCGGGCGGGAGCCTGGGAAAGCCACTCCTTGCTGCCCTTTCTCCTTCTTTCTCTGCAAGCTAACCACCGAATTCTCTGGCAGGCGATGCTGAGAGCAGCTGTTCACTTAGGAGGCCCAGGCCTGGCTTCCGGGAGCGGGCTGGGTTGGATTTTCTGCGTGGGCACCGACTGGCCCAGCCTGGGGGGTCGGGGGTGGACTCTGCGGGGACACTGCCGCGCCCAGGGGGTCCCTGCAGTGCCTCTGAGAGGGCCGGGTCTGCAGTGAGGAGCGGAGGACAGCCTCCCCTCAACCGCGCAACAGCAACAGCGAAGTCGGGGGTGGGGGCCAGGACGGTTTCCCTTGTTCATGTTTTCTGTGTTTTTCATACTTTCTCTACTACATAGGCATCACTTCATAATCATAAAGACCATAGACAAAGTGTATAAACAGATATCTTGCAGGCGACCCTACGTCTGTAAACGAGGTGATTTCTATGTGTGATCTTCCTGTGACGAGCATGTCACTTTTCTGGAAAAGTAAAAGTAAAAACGGTCGCAGGCATCTCTGCCGAGCTCCTCCGAGGAGGACGGCCCCTGTGCGCTCTGAGCTCGGGCCTCCTTCCTCTTTGCACTCTGCGGCCCCAGCCCTGCCTTACAGAAGCTCCCGCTGTGTTGGAGGGCAGGGGCTGCCGGCTAGAAGGTGTTACTGCTGTGCGCCCCGCACACCCTCATCCACACTGCTGAGAGGTCACACCCGTCAGACACACTGACACAAAGCTGCTGGTGCTCTGCAAATGGACACCTAACAAGGACCTCTGCAGGGAGGGCCTGGGAGGGGACCAGGCCACATGTGACAGTGACAGCACAGCCTATGTTTCCTCCCAGTTCACAGGCAATGTGCTCGGTACAGCCTGCTGTGTAACAAAGGCCCCCCCCAGCTGTGCTGCCCAGCATGGCAGGCCCCTGCTCTCTCAGGGTCCTGGGTGCCGGGAAGCCACGCCGCCCGGCTACCCTCCACTGCACGGGTCCTGTGTTCCTCAGGCGTACACCCATGTACTTATTTCTCCTTCAAAACCTTCAAGAACAGCAGAGCCACCATTTGCACGTAAAGCAGCTCAGACTCAGGCCCAGTGAGCAGTGCCAGCCTGTGTGTAGATTGGCATCCACCATGTTTGAGTGGGAAGTTCACAAGCTGGGTGCCACCATGCCAAACCACGAAGCAGAGAAATGCCCACGGCACAATCTGGATGAAAAACAGAGAAGCAGAATGAGAGGTGCTCTGGAAATGCGCATGTAGTTGCTGGCTTTGATTTCCTGGAGGAAAATGAAAATTTCTTTACCAAATATGTATTTGACTAAACTGAGAAAAAACGCTTCCATGAAAAACAGCTCAGAAATCTGACAAAGCGATGGATTTGCGACATTTAAACCAATAGGATGCCCTCTGTAGAAAGCAGTTAGCATGGAGCTGGGTGGACACAGCCGGTCAGTTCCCGGGAACATCTGGGTGAGAAACAACCAAAAGTGGTTCAAGGAAGTTCGTGTCGGACACTCCTTTTCAGACATCTGAGACGTGGCTCATTTTCTACTTAAGCTGTAAGCAAGTAGAAGTCCCCACAAACCAGGGAATCGGGGCTGCGTCAGGGCCCAGGGCCGCCCCAGAGTGAGTCCCTCTCTGGGGCTGTGGAGGGAAGGCGGCCTGTGACTCACCCCAGCCCCTCCCCCTGCCCGTCCCCTGCCCCTCCCTCCCGGCCTCCCTCCTGGGCTGGGACTCCAGCCGGCAGCAGAGCAGAGCCCACTTCTCTCCCGGTATCAGTTACAGCCAGCCCACCCTGCCCCCTGCCCCCGGTGGATGGTGACAGGCAGGCCTGTGCCATGAAGCTGCCCCTGGCTATGCTCCTCCTGCTACTGCAGGCCGGCTGGGCCACCGCGCAGGACGAAGCGGCCGTGGGGAGGGCCATCGCCTTCCAAGGTGGGTGCCGAGCCAGCCTCTGACTGTGCTGCCCTGCGGGCGGGGTCCTGGGGCCAGGCACATCCATGGGGACACTGCGGGGGCCCTAAGCCCTGCCTATGATGGGAGAGCTGTAAACGGGGGCCTCATGGGGGCTTGAAATTCCCGACGACTGCCCCAGCTGGGCCCTGGATCTGGTCACCTTGAGCTTTTCCACTCTGGAGGGGATGCCAGGCCGGACGCGTGGGTGGCCTGGAGGCAGAGTGACTGTCCAGCCACCGTCCTGCAGGCAGTGCCGCTCTCTGCCAGGCCGATCCCATCTGACACTCCCTGCAGCAGCCGGTCACCAGCCTTAGCTGCTGTCCCACACCTTATTTTGAGGGTCCTGCCCCCTGGCAGTTTTAAGCTCCACTTGGAAAAACAGTGGCCATCTTAGCTGTTCAGGTCTGGGCAGGGGGCCTCTGCCTGCCCAAAGGGTGGGCTGCTCTGCCCCAGCCACGTGAGGTTCCCAGCACCATGGGGGGCGGTCCCTGGCCACCCCAGCCCGTGGCCAGGTGCCTGCAGTGGGAGTGGCTGCCTGAGGTCCCCCCAACCCCCAACAGGTGGCTGGCGGTGGGGAGGGGCTGACCAGAGGCTCACCTGGGCAAGGTGGGTGGAGGTGCACCCCTCCGGGTGCACGCAGGGGGGTCAGGGCAGGAACCACAGGCCCCCTCCTCCCATCCCTGGCCCAGACTGCCCCGTGGACCTCTTCTTTGTGCTGGACACATCCGAGAGTGTGGCTTTGCGGCTGAAGCCCTATGGGGCCCTCGTGGACAAGGTCAAGGCCTTCACAAAGCGCTTCATTGACAACCTGAGAGAAAGGTAGGCGGGTGCGCCTTCCCCTCCAGGCCCCTCGGGGGCGGGGCGGGGACAGCTGGCCCCGGGCAGCCTGGCGTCACCCTGCCCCAGCCAGCAGACAGAGCTGGGCCTCAGCCCCCACCTGGACACTGGGTCCCCCGCATCATGGTGGTTCAGACGGGCTGGGTGTGGGTGGCCAGCAGGAGGGCTGAGGGGACAGCGCTGCAGAGCCGGGTTCCTGTCCCCAAAACGCAGGGCAGGAAACACCCTCCCCACCCCCAGCCAAGTCGGTGGGGAAGCCGTGCAGGCCTGCGGCTCCGCCCAGGACCTAGAGTGGGTGCCTTCGCCAACTACCTAGACGCTGGCCAAAACTGATGCCCATGCAGCCAGCTTGGGCCCGCCTCCTGGACCTGACATCCCAGGGTCCCCCGTGTCCCCAGCATCCTGTCCAAGGGGCAGGAGTGCTGCCAGCTCAGCTCTGGGCTTGGGGGGCACACTCACCGACCTGGGCACTCACCCCACTGATGACAGCAGGGACCCAGGGCAGCAGCCACGCCCACTGAGGTAGTCGGGGCATGGGGGAGCTCAGTTGGAGCCAGGACCCTGCCCTCCCCTGCTTAGGGCCCCCAGTCCCGGGCTGTCCCTGTTGACCTAGCCCTGGGCCTCACGCCCACCTGACGCAGGGCTTTGAGACCTGAACCCCAAGCTCTCCTGGAGTGCCCATGTGTGGGGTGTGCCTCGGGGGCACTGGGGCATCCCTGTGGCTCAGTATCTGCCCCCAGGTGCCTTGGCCCCATTACCCAGCTTCCCCTGCCTCAGTTTTCCACATGTGAAATGGGCAGGCTTTTCCTGCTATTGGTGCAGTTGGCACCTCTGCAGAGCCACGGTCACCCCCTCTACCGGATGGGTTGAAGGGGCCCGGCCACCCCCAGGGCCACAGCCACCCTGAGAGCTTCAGCCAAGGTGCACATTGCAGAGGCGGCCTTCAGGTCCACTGTGTCCCAGTCCCTTCATCCCCACTGCCCCGTGGCCCCCACCCCCTTGCCTGGAGCAGGGTCTCCGTGCACATCACTCTGCATCCAAGGCCATACTGGTCACTTGCTGGCTGGGGCCTGGCCCTCCTGGCCACCCGGGTGTGTCCCCCAGACAGGGCCCACTCGCTGGCTCCCGCCTTGCGCACACATGGAGTGGGTGCCCGTCGTGCTGCGGATGGACCGTCTCGGGAGCGGGGCCGCCTGGGCTGCCCACAGGGGACATGCTGCTGGGCCCAGGTGTGTCCCACTGCTCACCCCATGGCATGGCTTGCAGGTACTACCGGTGCGACCGCAGCCTGGTGTGGAACGCGGGTGCACTGCACTACAGCGATGAGGTTGAAATCATCCAGGGCCTCACCCGCATGCCCAGCGGCCGCGATGCGCTCAAGGCCCAGGTGGACGCGGTCAAGTACTTTGGCAAAGGGACCTACACAGACTGTGCCATCAAGAAGGGGCTGGAGGAGCTGCTGGTCGGGTGGGTGCCTGTGCGCCTCAGCCACGTGGGCCCTTGCCTCAGGGGCCACCTTCCTGACCATCTTCCGGGAGCCCCAAGCCCTCCTGCAAGCCACGTTCTGGAGCCCGAGGCCCTGGAGAAGTCCTAGGGGTCTAGGTGCTGTGCCATGGCCGTCGAGTCATGCTCCATCCCACCCAGAGCTGTCCCCTATCTCCTCCATCACTGAGGGCAGAGGGGCAGAGGGGCAGAGGGGCAAAGATGCCCCGGGAACCTACCCTTCAGTCGAGCAGAGGTGGTGTCAGGAGTCTGAGATAGAGACAGAGAGGCACAGAGGCGGGGGACCCCGCTGCTCCCACAGAGGAAGTCAGATCCTGGCTGCAGTGGTCCCCGGACAGCAGCTGGGGTCAATCCCGAGGGAGGACTGTTTGGGGGTTGTTGCTCGGCCCAGCTCAGCCAGGTCCTGCCTGCAGCAGTGAGCAACTCTTCAGCCTTCCTTGCCAGCTGCCCATGGCCAGGGCCCCGGGGCGGAACACCTCAGCTGGGATAAGGACCCAGGAATTTTTCAAAAGTTTTTTAGAGGAATGTGATCCCACAAAACCTTATTTTCTGTTGTAATATTCTTTTTACAGTCCCACGTTATAGTCAGGACGAACACACAGAAACAGGGTCCCGGGTAATAGGAGGCACCCAGTCCCGGGTCTCCTCTGGCCCCCAGGGTCTCAGCTTTGTGTTCAAAGGGGCCCCGAGCAGCCCAGGAGCCCCATGCGCGGCTCTCACCGCTGCCCCCGCCCTGCAGGGGCTCCCATCTGAAGGAGAACAAGTACCTGATCGTGGTGACAGACGGGCACCCCCTGGAGGGCTACAAGGAGCCGTGTGGGGGCCTGGAGGACGCCGTGAACGAGGCCCGGCACCTGGGCGTCAAGGTCTTCTCCGTGGCCATCACGCCCGACCACCTGGTAGGAGCCCCCTTCCTGGGCCTGCAGGGCAGGGTTTGGGCAGCAGACGGGCGGGGCAGCCTCCTGGCTGCCGCCCCGCATCCCCAACCATGGCCACCTCTGCGCAGGAGCAACGCCTGAGCATCATCGCCACGGACCACACGTACCGGCGCAACTTCACAGCGGCCGACTGGGGGCAGAGCCACGACGCGGAGGAGGCCATCAGCCAGACCATCGACACCATCACCGAGATGATCGTGAGTGCACCCCCACCCGCACCCCACGCCCCGTGGCCTTGGACGGACAGTAACGCGACTTCCCTCTTCCACTTTTCAGAAAAACAACGTGGAGCAGGTGGTAAGAGACCCCCCCAACCTGCCCAACCTGCCCAGCACCTCGGGGCTCACCTGTCCCTGGGCCTGCAGAGCTGGGCGGGTGTAGAGGGCGCGGCCGCTGGGCCCTTGTTTTCTGACTGTCCTCTGTCCCTTCCCTGGCAGTGCTGTTCCTACGAATGTCAGGTAAGAGCCCCCGCCCCCTGCCCCAACCACCTTCCCCTCCTGCCCTCCTCCCCCTACGTTCCCTCCCTTCCCCCA